GTGAGCCCCTTCACCCCCCCAGGCCTATGCTAGCTCAGCTTCACTGAGTCTGCAATACAAAGAGGAGGATGTGGGGGAACTGGGGTCTTCAACTAAGTGTCACCTTCAAGCCCTTCTCATGAGGCCAAGACCAGCACTGGTGACATCTTGCACTACAGCTCTCAGTGCTGTCCACACCCACTGCCGCCACCTCGGTGCTCCCTACCCAGCAAAGCCTCCAAATGACTCAGTTCTCACCCACGAGCATTCACCAGCCTTGCCTGTGACAGGACCCTGGGGATGGAGGCAGCCCACTGCTCCCTTCCCTATGGGTTTCTGTGCCACTCTCCAGATTCAACCTGGACCCGGAAAAGAAGTGCTCAGACAGCACACTGTGGGAGGCCCTGGAGATCGCCCAGCTGAAGCTGGTGGTGAAGGCGCTGCCTGGAGGTCTCGGTAACAACTCCTGGCTGCACAGCCAGGCTGGCTGGGTGCTAAGAGAGCATCCATGGGCTGGGGAGGGAAGACTCATAGCCACATCTTTGGTGGCCTGAGTTTGAAGTCTGGGATCTGATAGGACCAGAGACCATTTTGTTCTACCTTCCACCATTCAGGGGCCCAGAGAGGTAGTGACTTGCTCCAGGTCACACCGCAAGTCCGTTCAGGCTCTCACCTCTCTTGCAGGGCTCAGGGAGAGAATAGAGGTCCCTGTATGACAGAGTTTGTCACCCATGCTGTGGTAGTATCTTTAGTCCTGCCCTGCCCTATCCCCTGCCCTAGGGAAGAGAGAACAGAGTGGAAAATCTTGGACACTGTTCGCTTAAAGAGTTTATTAGAAAGACTCTGACCCCTCCAGGGGAGGGCAGGGCCTTGGGGTGTACTGCACCTCCTGGATCTGTGGGGCCTGGCCAAGCTTTGGCTTCTGTGGATTGCCCTCCCTGAGGCCCCAACTTGTGTGGCCACTCTCCATGCACACACTCAGCATACATGGCCCCTCCCAGGATTGCCAGGCCACAGCAGAGCACACCACCACAGATGCCCTTCTCACCTCAGTCCCTGCAGATGGCATCTGGGTTGTATCAGGTGTGCTCCTGACACACTACCACCTAGGGGCAAATGCCCCCCCAACCCATGCCGTCTGCTCACACCGTGAGCCCTGCTCTCTGTGCCTGGGGCTGCTTTCAGATGCCATCATCACAGAAGGCGGGGAAAATTTCAGCCAGGGCCAGCGGCAGCTGTTCTGCCTGGCTCGGGCCTTCGTGAGGAAGACCAGCATTTTCATCATGGATGAAGCCACAGCCTCCATCGACATGGCCACGGTTGGTTCTGGGCATGTCCATGGGGTAGAGACCTTGGAGAGGGTTTTAGTGAGGTGTTAGGGAAAAGTTTGCGCAAAGCAGTCCTGACTTTCAAGTTGCCTTTAACATCAAGGGCTATGTGTGGCCAAAGAGGCCAAGGGCGGGGGGACTCTGACTCCATCTAGTCTTAAAGAAGGTTCCCACACACACACACACACACAGATCCACAAAGACTTCTCACCCCTCACCCACAAAACAGCATCACACTTGCAGCACATGATGTGCTCACAGAACTGAGCTCCAGGAAGCCAAGTCAGCCCCTGAGTGCTGGACACCCAATGAGTCCTGAGAGAACCAGGACCAGAGAGAGGGTGGGGGAGGGTGGCTAGGATTGGAGTCAGATGGGAGCTGGGCCACAAACCTGGGCCCCACATCCCCAAAGCCAGTCCAGACCCCTTCAACTGGGCAGGTGAGCCCTCAAGCTGCTTCTTCCATCTGACAGGAAAACATCCTCCAGAAGGTAGTGATGACAGCCTTTGCAGACCGCACTGTGGTCACCATCGCGGTAAGGGGCCCATTGACAGGCAGGGGCCACCCAGCAGGAGGGCTGGCTACTGGGGCTGTCATTAGTGATCAGCCCCTGGGCTTGGCTGGTCCCCAAGAAAGGACCCTGGAGCAGTTCAGGGCAAGGAGTCTGGAGGGCTGGCAGGGATCCTGGGTTGCAGGATTTGGGGTGAGGGGGATTTGCACCTGCTCTTCCCTCAGACATCCCCTCTTTCTCTCCAGGTTCCAAGGTCCACCCCCCTCCCAAGGTCCTGTGAGCTAGGTTGGGGTTGCTTCTCCATAGGAAGTCAGGGAAGAGAGGTGTTGGTGTGAGGGGCCCCTGAATACTGAAACCTGGATGTGGGAGAGCTGAGACCTGCTGGAGGGGAGAAGGGTGGTATTGAAGGGCTCAGATCACAGTCCCCCTAGACAGGGGCAGTCACCACAGAGATACAACATCGTGGCCACATGCCTCCTTCTCCAAGCTGCAGGAGGGAGCCCTTAGCTGCCCTGACCCTTCCACCCACACCCTGACCAGCCCCCTCCTGCCTGCCCAGCATCGAGTGCACACCATCCTGAGTGCAGACCTGGTGATTGTCCTGAAGCGTGGTGCCATCTTGGAGTTTGACAAGCCAGAAAAGCTGCTCAGCCAGAAGGACAGTGTCTTCGCTTCCTTTGTCCGTGCAGACAAGTGACCTGTCAGACCCCAAGTGCCATCCTATACTCTCACCCTGCCCCCACCCTTGCCTGGGTTTTCTAACTGTAAATCACTTGTAAATAAAGAGATTGATTATTTCCTACTGGGAGCCCCAACTCTGGTGGGCAGAGACTGCAGTGGTCTGTGGGTGCAGGGAATCAGCCTGTCTTTGACACTGGGCAGATTCTGATGTTGCTATGTAAACATGGGCCAAAGCATATTTCCTGATCTGTGAAATGAGGGATGTGTTAGTCAGCTCGGACTGCCATGACAAAATATCGCAGAGTAGGTAGCTTCAACAACAGGAATTTATTTCTCACAGTTCTGGAAGCTGAAGCCCAAGATCAAGGTATCCGCAGCTTTCGTTTCTCCTTGGCTTGCAGACAGCCATCTTCTCACTGTCCTTGCATGACCTTTCCTCTGTATACACACAGCCCTGTGAATTCTCCTCTCCACCCCCTCTCTCTCCAAGGACAGCAGTCATATTGAGTTAGGGTCCAATCCCTGTGTCTTCATCAAATCTTAATTACCTCCCCGCAGGCCCTAGCTCCAAATACAGTCACATTGGGGGCTAGGTCTGGAGAAGAAAATTCAGTCCATAGCAAGGGAGATAGCATTTTTGTGGAAACCCCATCGGATAAGGTGACAGGTCTCTTCCTTAGGGTATTTATTCTTGGATTAAAATTGTGGAACCTGGTACCCTGGATTAATACTATTTCCTTTGCCAGTAATGGAAACCCAACTCAAAATGGCTTAAACAAAAACATATTTATTGTGGTATGTGACTGTGAAGACCAGGAGGTATACTATTTCAAACACGGTTACTCCAAGTATTTAATGTCAGGGATGTGCCTCCATTTCTGGGTTCCATTTACCTCTTCCTTTCTGATGACAGATGGCTGCTAGCAACCAAAAGGAAAAAAAGATGTTCTTTCCCAGTAGCTCTAGCAAAAATTTTGGGAGCAAATCTCAATGGATAAATTTGGTCACATTCTCATCTTCACCACTGTGGTTGGAGGGCCAGAACATACCTACTGGCTAGGCCTAGATCCCACATCCCCATCTCTGTTCCCCAAAGCAAGGACATTCAGAAGTGGGCAATGGTGGTCCTTCAGAAAGTAAGAACAGTACAAGTATCACAATTAGCCAGGTGGTGGCTGAGAGTTGCCAGGCCCCAGACCCTGGAGAGACCAAAACAACAGCTTGTCCTAACTTCATCTTCATCAGGAAATAGGAGTGCACACCTGCCCTCAGTCAACAAATGACAGGTGCTAATTTACATATCATTTTATAATAATTTATATATCACCTACAGTACTGGCTTGCCAGGCCCTGAAGTAAAAACCTAGGGTCCTTGGGTTTAACTGCAAGAGGGTCAAAGCCCCTGCATTAGCGCCAGATAACAGATGACCATGCATGGTCCAAGGGATTCTTCTCTAAGGATATGAGCCCCAGGGAGCAAATGAAGCCATTACTGTTCCAACAACCAACAAGGCAACCTTAGGCTAATATCTACAATAGAAACATGTCCAGACAAAAGCCTGGGACCCCAGTGTCTAAGCTAGCTCTAAAACAACTCAGGTCCAGATACCTCCTATTACTTATATTGAAATAAATCAGGCTACAGACATGGGGAGTGTAAAGCAAGTGCCAGTAGTTCACATCCTCTAAAATGCAGGGTGGGCTGGGGCCTCTTGGGATAGAGAAGATGGAACTTCCCAGGCTTCTGGGGCTACAAAATGAGCATTGTTATGGTAGGTGTTGGACTGTGCTCCCAATCCTATTGAAGTTTTTTTTGTTTTGTTTTGTTTTGTTTGTTTGTTTGTTTTTGTAATGGGAAAGATTTGGAGTCTTCGGATTCTCAAGGGATCTAAGACTAAGAAAAGGTGGTCCTAGGGGCCTCTGGCTCTGGGATAGTGGCTCCACCTCTCAGTGCCTCCTTTCCCTGGAAACCCAGAGCCTCTCTAGAGGCAGAGATGACCCAACTGCAGATGGGTAAAAGGAGGGAGGGGAATCAGGGCGACAGCGGCTGCTATCCCAGATTAGGACAGATGATGACTCCCTTCGCGCCCTCCAATTTCATCGTGAAATTGGAACCTCATATGATCTGTCAGTCGAATTGGACGGACAAAGCCCCAAGGGCAGACTGAGATGGAAGAAGGAGGGGCAGGGTAGGGGGTGGCTAGGGGCGGAGCTTGCGCCTATGCCCGTCCCCTCTCCCGCTCAGAAATAGGTCGGGCTCCCCCTAGCGGCCAGTCCCCAATTCTGCTCCTCGGGCGACCCCCGCCCTTAATCTTGTATCCGCACCTTGCACTGGTCTGTATTCGCGGACCCACGGACCGACAGACTGACCGAAACCCGCCGGCCGCCAGCACTCAGTCAGCGGGAGGGGGCGGGGAGGCGATGGCTGTGGCTTGAGGAGCAGGAGCAGGTGCCGCGGCGACAAGCGGGCGGGGCAGGGACCGCGCGGCGGGCGGGGATCGCGGGGCGGGCGTGCGTGCGGCCGGCCGGCGAGCAGCCGGGAGGCCTCGACTCTGAGCTAGCCCAGCCAGGTAGCGCGGGAGACGAGGGGATCCGGAGTTGAGCCGGGTCGGGTGGTGACTCCGGAGGGCGCAGGATCCCAAGGAGACAGAAAGGACAAGAGCTGGAGAGAGATCCCGGGAGCGGCGGGGGCGATAGGGGAGGAATGGGGTAGGAAAGAGGGCGCATACCTAGAAGAGGCAGTCGGGACGTGAAGCTGGAGCTTGGAGGGGATCTGGGACAGAAATGGGTAGGGCGGCAGAACAGTGGGGGGTTGTGCGAGGTCTCGCTAGTTGGTAAGATCGGGAGGTGTTAAGTTCTGAGGTGGGTCGAGAAAGGAAGGCTGGGGGACCAGAGGGATGTTAGGAGGAGGCCCAGGTGTGGAGGAGAGCTGTGTGGGGATCCAGGGCCGCCTGGCTGGAGGGCTCACTAGGCAATGGGCAGTGGGCTGAAGGGTGAGGCTGGTGTAAAGAAGTGAGTCAGGATCCAGGTGGAGGTGAAGACGGATCTGGAAGGACAGGCCATCTCAGGTGTGAAGATAGCCCAGGCTGAGGGTAGCCCAAGGTGAGAGGGTGCCTGGGAGACCCTAGGCCAGGTCAGGGCTGTGCCCCCCCATGGGGGAAACCCCTCCCTGGGGTCACCGGAGCCATGCTGTCCCGCAAGGGCATCATCCCTGAGGAGTATGTGCTGACACGGCTAGCAGAGGACCCTGCAGAACCTAGGTACCGAGCTCGAGAGCGGAAGGCCCGCTTTGTGTCCAAGAAAGGCAACTGTAATGTGGCCCACAAGAACATCCGGGAGCAGGGCCGCTTCCTGCAGGACGTATTCACCACGCTCGTGGACCTCAAGTGGCCACACACACTGCTCATCTTCACCATGTCCTTCCTGTGCAGCTGGCTGCTCTTCGCTATGGTCTGGTGGCTCATTGCGTTTGCCCACGGTGACCTGGCTTCTGGTGAGGGCACAATAGTGCCCTGTGTCACCAGTATCCACTCCTTTTCATCCGCGTTCCTTTTCTCCATCGAGGTCCAGGTAACTATTGGTTTTGGTGGGCGCATGGTGACAGAGGAATGTCCACTGGCCATCCTGATCCTCATTGTGCAGAACATCGTGGGGCTCATGATCAACGCCATCATGCTGGGCTGCATCTTCATGAAGACTGCGCAGGCGCACCGGCGAGCAGAGACTCTTATCTTCAGCAAGCACGCTGTTATTGCTGTTCGCCATGGCCGCCTTTGTTTCATGCTCCGCGTGGGTGACCTCCGCAAAAGCATGATCATCAGTGCCACCATCCACATGCAGGTGGTGCGTAAGACCACCAGCCCTGAGGGTGAAGTGGTGCCTCTTCACCAGGTGGACATTCCCATGGAGAATGGCGTGGGTGGCAACAGCATCTTCCTGGTGGCGCCGCTCATAATCTACCATGTCATTGATTCCAATAGTCCACTCTACGATCTGGCACCCAGTGACCTGCACCACCACCAGGACCTGGAGATCATTGTCATCCTTGAAGGTGTGGTAGAAACCACGGGCATCACCACCCAAGCCCGCACCTCCTACCTAGCTGATGAGATCCTGTGGGGCCAGCGCTTTGTCCCTATTGTGGCTGAGGAGGACGGCCGCTACTCCGTGGATTACTCCAAGTTTGGCAACACCATTAAAGTGCCGACGCCACTCTGCACAGCCCGCCAGCTTGATGAGGACCGCAGCCTGCTGGATGCCCTGACCCTCGCCTCTACCCGTGGGCCCCTGCGCAAACGCAGTGTGGCCATGGCCAAGGCCAAACCAAGGTTTAGCATCTCTCCAGATGCCCTGACTTAAGTCATGGTCCCTGGGTCCCCACATGTGCATGTGCACACAGGCAGTTTGGTATGGTAGGTACAGTGGATGTGGTGTGGGCCCCTTGGCAAAGTGAAGGCCTGGACCCTCCTCAGCTCAGCCTTCCCTGCTTTGTGCCCAGGGTGTTGCAAGGCACTTGTCACTGCTATTTCTGGCCTCAGCAGGAGCCCGTACTGGGTTATTTTTGTCCCTGTTCCTCCAGCCCAGCTCAGGACTGGCTTATCCCTCTCTCTCTGCCCAAGGGAAGACTGTGGGTGTACTAGGCCCTAAAGCTGGGTCTCCAGCCAGTCCTGGCCCCCATGATCAACCTAATACCAGCAGGCAGGTGGCTGGGGAAATCAATCCCCAGATTGGCAGCCTGCCTTCTGGTTTCTGTGGTCCCCAAAAAATCCCTGTGACCAGGCCTCAGCTCTACTTTGTCCCTGAAAAAGTGATGGGCTAAGGGGTGGGTTCCACCTGCAAAGGAGGGCAGGTAGTGAGAGCACATTGCAGCTCCACGGCTGGAGCTGTGGAACCTACACAGGTGGGGGTAGGCCGAGATGAGCAGAGCCTCTCTCCGCTGTCAGGCTTCAGCCCAGGAGGGGGACCCAGCAGGGATAGGGTAACAGAAGAAGGCTTTGCTGAGCCCTGCTTAGGGAGCAGGAGATGGGCCCAGCACCCTGCCCTTCACCCATTTCACCCTCTCTGCAGAGAGGATTCCTTGGGCTGGGGCTGCTGTTCCCATTCTGTCTCCAACCTGGGAGGCTAGAATGGGCTAGGCAGCCAGTGACATGCCAAGCACAGAGAGCTGAGGAAAGAGGTCCTGTGGCTACCACATACAACGGACCTCAGTCTGAACTCTGCTCCTGGCTCCCCAATGGCAGCTGTGACTCACTTTGTCCAGAGGACAACTGGGGGTGGGGGTGCCTTTGAGTTGCTGGAAAAAGTGTTGAAAGTTCCAAATGATAGGGGGTATGAGCTCCCTGAGGTGAAGAGGCTCTTGGTCCTAATGGGTTTGACCCAAGCCAGGACTCTTAGAGCCTGTACTCACGGAGCAGTGCTGTGTGTCCTTGCCCAGAATTCTGCCTTCTGCATTGTCAATAAAGCCTCCCCTTCGTGACCTAAACTCTGAGCTGTTCTTGCTGGGGAGGCAGCAAGTATGCTGGTGGAAAGGGAGGGTGGGGCTGGCAGCTGTCACCCCACATTCAAGAAGTACTGTGAGCCCTAGCAGGGAGTCCAGGAAAGGGAGCTGAGGCTGGCTCCTCCTCCCCCAGCTCAGGGGCATTTCCCCCTCCTCAGGTGACCTAGTACTGCCAGCAGTCTAGCTACCTCTTTTTTTTTTTTTTTTTTTTTTTTTTTTTTTGCATCCAGAAGGCCTTATAGCCCTGGGCCCTGCCTCCCTCCCAGGGATCTATTGGAAGGCAAGGTACCTAGGGAGAGGAACGGGGTCATTACAGGCATAAGGGTTGTGGTTGGGAGGTGAATTTTCCAGACATATGCCTGGGTCCAAATCCTGGCTGTAGCTATATGACTTAGGACAAGTAACTCTCTGTCTCTGTTGCCTTATCTATGCTGACTGTATCTACTTCATAGAACTGTAGGTGTAAGTGAAAAGCATATGTAAATGTCAAAGTGCCTGGTCTGTAATAAGTGTTCAATAGTTAATTATGAGAAAACTGACCAAGCAAGCATTAAGAGAGAAAGTGTGTTTATAGTTTCCTGCAGTGATGCATTTCTTTGCTTGGTCTTACTTTCTACACGTGTCCCTTCCAGCTAAGGATTAGAGGGGTTGTGGCAACCTGTAGCCATATAAGTGGTCTTAGAAGGGTTATGATCATTTCCTCCCACATGAAGTCTCTTTAGTAGTTTCCCATTACTTTCTGGATCCAGGCTAGACTTCTTAGCCAGCCATTTCAGGACTTGACTCCTTTCTACCCTGCATTCCACTGTTCTCTTGCCAGAATAATTTGCACCCTGATTCAGCCAGTTCCCTAACTATCTGTGTGTCCCCTCCTTGCACATAACTGAGGTTCTGACTTTCAAGCCTTTTGTTATGATTTCCCCTTTGCCTGACCTGCCCAGGCTTCATCTCTGCTAAAATCCATAGAAGTTCAGACCCAGTGATGTCTCCTCAAAGCCTTTCCTGGTTTCTCTGGGGAAAAACTGTCCTTTCCCTGAGCAGTCTCCTCTGCCTGTGTTTATGACCCCAAAGTTCATGGCTTCTTGGGATTAGGAATTGTGTCTGATTCAACATTGGGTCTGACACTGAGTAGGTACTGAGTGAAGGAATCGATGGATGCATGGTGGACAGATGAATGGATGATGTACAGAACCACAAGCCAGAGTCATTACTAAAAAGAAGCCTGCAGACTGGGCTGTGGTTGGATCAGTAAGGGTCTGTCACAGGCTGCCAAGAGAAAGCCAAGGGGTCCAGGAAGTTGCTGCTGCTTGTGTGAACTATAAACTTTCTTCTTCCTCACCCACATAGTCCCTGGCACTGATTCCCTTCCTTGCAAAGCTGACCCATTTCTGGTTCAAAGAAGAGATTGAAAAGCTAGTCAGAGTCTGCCCGGAGTTTTGAGGGTCTGGCTTTTGGAACTTAATTTGGTCAAACCCTAAGGCCATGGGAGAGGCCAGAGTCACTAAGAAGGAGCCCCTTGGTCACAGCATCTTTGGAGTCCCATCCAGAATAACTTTCCTCCAACCCCTTACAGACCTTAAGTGGCTGGTGACAGCCTGACATCTGCAGAACTGGGGTCTCAGCGCCACCTTCTGGCCACAAGGAAGACTTACATGATCCCGGAAAATTGGAGCTGCTGGTCCTTCCATTTCTGACCACTCTAAGGGAGATCCCCAGCCTTAAGGCTTAGATTAGAGAGAAGCCGGAAAGTTCCTCGATAGCTGGACTAAGCCATCCTTGCCCCCACATGATCAAAATATATAGTATAACTCGGGAGTTCCCAGGGCCTGTCTGAGTCCCAGATTTGAGACTGACAACAGGCTCAGCTATGTTAAATGACAGTACAGATTATGCCCCAAACACCCAGAATCAGAGGGGCCTCACAGATACTTTCTCTAAGCTACATGTATGGTGAACCCTCCCTCCTCCTCTTGCTTGCATAAGCCCTGGGCTCCTTGCCTTCCAGACTACTCTGTCCCCAGTCAGTGATGATGCAGCCCGAGGGGGCAGATCTTCTAAACCTCTGTCACCAACTCACATCAATGGTGTGACATGTCCCAGGCCTTAGTCCTGAGCTCCACAGGTTAGTGAAGTCAGGCTACCCACTTCTTGTTATGAAAACAACCTGATAGTCATAAGCTGGGCAAACATAAGTTCTTTTATTCCATTCCAATCTTAATTTCTAATATCTCTAACATTCAAATCATATACTTCACACAATGATGTATAGAGTGATCACAGAAAAACTAAGAAATAGTTAACATGGCTGCAGGATTCCAGAATGCTGAGCCAAGAGCACAAGCAAAGAGAGATAAGAAGGCAAAGATAGTCAATGTAGGTGGTCAGAAAAGGATTTTTTAAAATATTTTTATTAGAGCATCATAATTATACAGTAATTGGGTTAATTTTTACAAACTCATACATGCAAGGAATTTGATTTAAAGCCCAATTCCCCCGCTTCTCTCCTCTTATTCTCCCTTCTCTCCTTTATTAAACTACCTTTCTTCTATATATGCATAAAAGTAAAATTCCCTTTGGTATCTTTATATACAAATATAACATGATTTTGCTAAATTAGTCTCATTTACCTTCTTCTTTCTCTTCCTTCTTCCCTGTCACTCTATATCTACTCCCCTGATCTTTGTATATCTACCAAAAGCATAGGACAGATAGTAGTTGTTTCCTTGTACAAAGAAAGTACAGAATCATTTTACCTTGGCAGTTGTCTCAAAATGGAGTAGCTTATGGAAAACTACTGCTTTCCAAAATGGATTAACTCAGGGTCAGGCACAGCCTGCAAACCACTATTCTGTATCTCATGAAGTAACTGAGATCAGAGCATAGCCTGCTCTTCACAGTGTAGGATGGAGCTGTCTGTGCAAGCTACCCCTGGACCCAGGCTGATCATAGCCTTCTCTTCCACTTTCAGTGGCGTCATTGCCATATGTCTGTCATGATAGCATCTGGATATCAGAGAAAGGCAAGAAATATGACAGTAATCACAAATATTGCAAGAAACATTTGAAAACCACTTTAGATCCAGTTTTTTCATCAGCTTAGATCCAACTAGGAGAATAAATCTCTTGAATCAGTCTTGGATAAGCGGTTTTTCTCATTGACTGATAGCTCTCCCTAACACATTTACAGTGAGAAGTATTTACTCTTGCAGATCTTGCCTTGGCAGGCCCATAAATACTTGATGGCAATGTGTTTTTCTAGAACCATTTTAACCAACACATTTACATTGGTCCCTTGGGCCTCTAACGCTTGTGCTATTTTATTTGCTATTTGGGCCATAGTTAGGGATTGAGTTTAGAAACTTCTAGTGAAGGTCAGGAATTCTCAGTCAAACCAGTAAGATCTAGTGGTAAGTCAATCCATTGAGGTACTAATAAAATATGAGCAAGTAGGGGAAGGAATTTCCCTGTCTCAGCCAGCAGTTTCTGTAGGTATGAGAATAATGCAGACCACACTGTTCAAAGACCTCATCAGGTTCAATTCACTGTGAGCCTCATATTATATGGAGAGACACAGGGAGGCTCCACAATGTGTCTCCCCAGCTTCACAAAGCAACACATGGAAATCAGATGGGAAAGTTCTTCCCCAACACATCAGAAAACACACACACACACACACACACACAAAATACCCCAGCTTCAATCCTAAGAACAGCCCACAATCTTTCCTGTGATCAAGAACTCTAGGGCTGGGGATGTGGCTCAAGCGGTAGAGCACTCGCCTGGCATGTGCGGGGCGCTGGGTTCAATCCTCAGCACCACATAAAAAAAAAATTAAAAAATAAAAATGTTGTGTCCACCGAAAACTAAAAAATAAATATTAAAAAAATTGGGGCTGGGGATGTGGCTCAAGCGGTAGCACACTCGCCTGGCTTGCGTGCGGCCCAGGTTCGATCCTCAACGTCACATACAAACAAAGATGTTGTGTCTGCCGAAAACTAAAAAAAATAAATATTAAAAAATTCTCTCTCTCTCTCTCTCTCTCTCTCTCTCTCTCTTAAAAAAAAAATTCTCTCTCTTAAAAAAAAAAAAAGAACTCTAGGAGCCAAGTTCAAGACTCAGGGCTACATTTTATTGAGGAACCCCTTACCTTTTACAACAATAAAATGCAAGTGATACAATCAGTCCAAAACAGGGGAAAGAATGAAACCTACTGACAAGGACCAAAGGGACCACAAAACTGCTACTAGAATCTATGTGATTAATGTCATTTTTCCTGTCAGAGATCTAACCACCCACCTTCTGCCACAAATCTCAGCACCTCTATTCCTATCGTGTATATTTTCACACATGAGAGTATTTAGCACATGTCAGAAAAATTGCACTATTGCACACTGCACACCTCATACGCATACCACACTCATCTTCAAAGTTTCCATACCTCACCATCTTCTATCATCTATATTCTTATCACCCAGACAAACCCCTCATGCCAACCACACAGAGCATGTTTCAATTTCACACTCTCCATCCCCCTGCATACATCCTGCACACTCCATTCACACATACCTCTGGCCCTTACTTTCAGAAACAGTTCCTTTCTCTCTCTAGGAGCCATCTGGCACATCCAGATCACATCCCTCAGAGTCCCTAGGTAGCCCTTACCTTCCTTACACCTCTCAGCTCAGGAAGATGCATTTGATCCATAGGGTCATCCTATCCAAGACCAGAGCCATGACCAAGGCAACCAGTATATAAGCTCAAAAAACCCCACCCTACCAGCATGAGGGGTTCTGCAGTAAACTGTGTTATCCTAAGGATTTGATGTGCCTGCAGAAAACCCTGGGCATCTTCAAGACCATCCTACAATGGCTTCCTCATCTTGGGGCACAGCCTGTAAGACAGGACTACTGATATAACCTTTTAGTCAAGAGTTCATGGTGGACATGGAGCCTGACTAGAAGGGCAGGTCCTGGCAGGGATGGTCCC